CCCAAAAAAAAACAACAACTGGAATTCAGTTATAATCAACATCCACCTAACAGCAACTGAGACTTGCTTCTCAAGGGCGTTGCTGTTGGGCGAACAATGCTGTATCTCCAACGCTTGGTTTAATACAGTCTTGGGGAATTAAACATCAAAATACAGTAAAAATTGTCAACCCATTGTTTGGGAGAAAAGTGGTTGTCTTAGAAAAATGGATGTCTTGAACAGTGTCATTATAACAGAGAAAAAACATGAGAGGAAGTGGGACGTGGTTATTAGTATAGGTGGTCATTAGAGCAGGTATGACTTGCAGGGAGAGAGAGACAGAAGTATAACAACAGAAAACATTAATTAATATTTATTATTAATTCGCAATTATTCTACTTTAAACAGCAGTCTTAATGCATGATGAGACCCCTTTCAAACATCCAGCATTTTCTCCGACACAACAAATGTACTCGTTTCTTTTCTATTTTTTTTATAGTCAAAGTGCAGGCAATACCAGCGCCGTGTAGACAGAAAGGCAGAGATGGAGAACAAAAGACTGGGCGTGATACGAAAAGCAATAACTAATAATATTACTAATAAGTTGGGATCTGGACAAGACTATAGATGTAACTTCCTATTATGGTGGGGTTAGGTCATGGATATGTGCTCAGCACTGACACCTTTGGAGGTGTTTGCACGACGACTTTTTAAACCAACCACTACTCAAGGAAAAATGTGTTTTCTAATTAAAACATAAAGCATATATGGCAAGGAAAAAAAGTTGATCAAGCTGAATGAGCATTGAGGTGTGCATGTTGTAACTCTTCATAGAAAGGTAATAGTACTTAAAATAGGGCTTTTTTTTACCTCATCTTGAGCGCACACGTAATTATATGTTAAATATACACAGAGAACATTGCCTAAACAATCAAAGTGAAGTGCATTCAAACATTGAAAATATTTAATATACACAATCATAACACCATGATGTGTCCATTGAAAGGGTTGTATTTTTTTATATTGATGATGTTATTGCTAAGTAAAATGTATTTTTTAAATTTCAGTAGAGGTTTCACGGCGCTCGGAACTGCATAACGTCATATGAGCGTCAGAACATTAGGTGTTACAAGAGAGTAATAAACAAAAAAGAAGGGAAGATAAATACGATAGATGTATGATAGGAAAGAAGAAGTAAACCACACCAGAGCACTCGCCAACCACTCACGTAAAATGCATTAGTTTGTTCATAACTCGTGTCCATGTCATATTTACATCATCAGACTTTCCAAAGCATAGAAAACCCACACTGTTCAACATACCATCACCAGGAATGACCAGCATTAAACACTGGTTTGACATTGATCCATCATAAATTCATCAGTGTAATTTTCCTCTCTGCCGCATGGTTTTGTTTAAATTGTTTAAATGTGACTGATTAAGATAATCCAGGTGTGTCATAATAATAATGATGTTTAATATGTCATTTTTATATCACGCAAATTCGTGTTACAATCAATGTTCTATGCGCTTTACAAAATATTGATTAAAAACATGCACACACACATACATATGTGCATAATAATATATGTGAGGCAGCGTGGTGGAATCAGGCTCTCGTCAATTTTTGGGCATGTAGAGTTACTGGTATCATCGTAAAGCTTGTTCACCTGTCTTTATTTGGATGAAAAAAATATCCTTTTATCGTGAATACAACTCGAGATATTTGCGAAAGAAGGAGGAGGGGGTCACTTATTTTCAGAAGTAAAATTAGAGAGAAAATGGCTGCTAAAGATTAGTTATTTCCTTAGCTTAATTAAGAGTCCGTGGTAACTGAAATTTTACATTTTTTGTGCCTTTAATCAACGTTTTTCAGAAAAATCCACACAGAAATGAACTCTTCAATGGGCATGAAAGGTGTTGAGCCAAAAAACAAAAATTTGATAAAAATTCACAAACCTGCGAAAAAATGCAAGTTTCTTCATATTGATTATTTTGACGAGAGCCTGATTCCACAACGCTGCCTCACATATGCAGTTCTACATTCACTAAAAATGTAACAGTAAATTAGAGCCGGAGTCTACTCGATTAATTGAAGGTTTGCGAGCAACGGACGGCTTGCGAGCAGGCTTGTGCTTTGCTTTGCTGCCCGCTAGTACCTGG